ATATTATTTCAGTCCGATATCATTTGAATAGTTTTTGAGGCGTTGCTCATCTATTATAGAAGTGCTTCAGGAATAAAACGCTCCGTGTCATCGGTGTCATATAAAAGTAATAATTTCGAAAACTAAGTTTTGTTAAGAAATTATCGGAGTTTTATATTCTTTCCAGTGAACGACCGCTTGTGGTGCTATTTAAAGTAAAGTGTTTTTTCTCTTTCTTTTCGTGAACGTCGCATACGCCTTACAACCTTTTGGATTTTCTTTCTTATAATTACGAAAGTTGCGGTGGTTATTGTAGAAGCGTGTACTTGCGAGCGACTGCAAAGTTGATTATTTAGAATAGGTGGTCATTTTTTTTTCACTCTTCATTTCCTACTCTTTATAACCGTTCTAATATCAATATACGAATTTTCGTGTTTTTTGTGTTTGTACATTGTTACTATACATTTACGCTTGTAATATCTGTAAGTAGTAATTTAAATTCAAAAAAATAAACGAAATATTTTATACTTAATAAATATGAACTCGCGTGACATAAACGATAAACTGAATATACTATCATGATATATAATATTATGTCATTATGATTTATGAACAACTTGACGCGTTTCGATGAATTCATATTAAACGTCAGAGCCTATTAATATAACATGTACACATATAAAAATATAATTTATAAGATTAATAATTTTTATTAAATTTGTATTTTCTTACAAAATGATCCAAGCATTCTAGCATCATGACTCAATAACATATACTTAAGAAAAAAAATAATAACATATTAAATACGTTATACGACTTCAGTCGGTTTGTCCTGGTGTAACAATTTTGAACAGAAATCAATAAATTTGGCGTTGGTACATTATAACAATTATTTATTTATCTATTTTCAAAAATACAAACTTTAGAAAAAAGTCATAAACATTACAGTTGAAAGTATTTTGGTAATAAGTTTGGTAATAAATAATAATTTAATAGATATCCAAAATCTAATGATATTATAACCAACATTATACTATTAGTTATAGTTACCAACTACCAGTGTATCACCATTGTCGAAATATACCCTCAGACTATTCATGGTTAGAACAAGGATAAAATATGATGATAATATAATGTATATACATTTATAGATTATTATAGGAGATACACCTGCATTCATACAGTAATAGGGATGCTGTGTTATATCATTATTACGGGCATACAAATACCACGAAATTTCTGCAAAACAATCGTACAACACGTCAACACATATTGTATAGATACCTCTAATACAGCTATAATAAAGAGTTGGTCACTTGGTCATCATTATATTATTATATTCTCACAAAATGTGCAATGATATTGAACAAGTTTTTACTATTACTATTATTTTTATTTGTTTTTCTTGTTGCAGTGGTTGTGGTTGTAAACACTTTGAGTTTAAAGGGTTAAAACAAAGAATGTTTACGAGTATAAATACATAATAAAAAATCTATTCAATTAAAATTTTCCCTGTGTATGTCCCACATTGTCAGGGAGTCCCCTGCACTGTTTGTTTAAAATAATATACTTATATTATGTGTACGGGCGTGCTTCGTATATAATACATACATATGATATGTTGTGCTCGACGTGGTATATTCGCACCCTCCCTGACGAGGCGGGAGAAAGAAAAAGAAGACAAAACGAACAAAACGCTAACAACTCGTTTTTAAAACGTCGTTGTCAGTCGTCAGACACCTGGTACAGTAAATATTATCGAAGTTTTTTACATTCCTGACGCTGACATATATACATTATACATATATTTCACTATAGGTAACACCGTGTATGACGAAAATGATAAAAATAAAAAGTTAATACACACAAATAAATCGTCAGTTTTCCATAAAAATATACCTTAAAGTGTACATAAACATGTAATTATTACATGAAAAAACATAAAATGGGTGGTACATTTTTAATAACCACGTCACAGTCTTCTCTTAGCAATATATATCATATATTTATAAATTATTCTTATAAACCACCCGATAGAACTTTATAATTATTACTAGGTATATGATTGCGACCACTTGTCAGTAGTTATTTTACTCGTTCAACCCGGCACCGTCTTTATTAAACTTAGGTGTGTTTTATTGTAACAAGGAGAAAAAAATTAAAGAAACTTCGCCGAGAAGTAAATACTAAATATTCCTTTAATACTAAATACCTTATTCTATTATATCATTCGCTATTGATTTCTAGTTCGAAAATACGAAAACACGATGATGATGATGATATTGATGATGATGATAGTAACACACCACAGTTTTAGGTTTTTGGCTTCGAAGGTGCACAAATAGGAAATATTCTTTTATGTCAGGGGCCATTCTATCTTCCTTTCATTAACGGTTTGCTTACGTGGTTTTTCCACTCGGCTCCTCCACCAATCAATACAATGACTTCTATACACGCACTTCTATTAACTTTCAACATGTCGGAGACATGCCACATGCAGCAAATATACCTATAATATACGTTTGTTGTACAAAAGATAAATCTATATAAATTTAAACTCGAACATTGATTCTACACTGGGAAAACAAATTTAAAACGTTTAACCAAGTTCAGGCAGCTTATAAGTACGCCGGTCATCATTGTTAGAGGTATTACGGATCAGAATAATCAGAAAATGGTGTCTTCAGTGTCACAGCTACGGTTTTAGTAAGAAAATTCTTAATAAATCCTGACATGGTTGTTGGGGGTGGGGCGTATCTTGATAATGTAATTTATAAGATATCGGAGCTCGTATAATATGATAAAAACGAAAAAAAATTTGTCGCAGTCGTTTTGTATAGGTACATAGGTAATTGTAATACACTCGATAATCATTTGTTCGAGGATAAGACAATGTATTATAGACTGTTTGCAACCTCAATAACCACGAAACTGCTACCACCCTTCTGGCCTGGTACTTATTTTTATAAGAAGTAAAATTATATTACTGTGTTGCAGTGCAGATGCTTATCGTTATATTGTATACGAGGAGGGAGGTTCGGCACGTAAACTGTATTTGATGGAAACCCTGGCCCGATTCCGTAATTTTATGTTCGGAATCTTAAATTGTTAAATCTATATTATGATTTAACACGAAATTCCACATCCGTCTTCTTCATCTAATCTCGCATAGGTACAATAATAACTGATTATCGGTTATCGCTTTATCAGATATTCTATCAATCTTAATTTTTTTTATTTACGAATCTTAAGTATCTTCCCCTCTCCACCCCTCATAATATAGTAATATTAAATAAATATAATTATATTATACACACTGGACCACACACTACATCACTGATGTGCGTATGTATATATGTACGTATATATATATAATATATATATATAAACTTTTAACACGTACGTCGTGTTTTAATCAACGCCCCGTCGGCAACTCGTTATACACACATGCCGCGCGTCTACGACGGAAAATAGTTTTCGCCGAACACGCGAAAAGTTACCTCGTTTCCGGTCCGGCGTTCAATTATAAACGAATACGTCCGGAACGCAGCTAGTGAGAACTGTCTGGTTTTTTGCTCCTCGTATAGGTGTAATATATACTATGCCAACTTGCGTGGACTTCGCGAATAATAATATAGGTAATATCGTAAGCCGCCTCTGGCATATAATACCTACAGCGGCATTCAGAAAACAACATCGTATTTTCGCCGTCAACATCACTGACTCGTGGCTGATTTCAGCGGTGGTTAAATCCACTTGCGCACACACGTCACACGCACCCACCACGTCGCGTTCGTCGTCCGCCACAGCCGATTTTTGCAGAGATTAATATTGATGTAAAATATACTATACATTGCATATTATATTATTATATATTACCGTCCATTCGTATTCGTTCAATGTATACTACTCGCAAGCACGTGCTCGACACCGCCATCCTCGCCCCGCCAAAAGTACATAATATAATATATCGGACGTCGATACATCACATGATAAATTTAGTGGTCCCGTTTCAACTGCATGTATGCATATGTTATGTAATATTATGTATATACTTACCACTTTATGTATGGGTATTTATAGGTATATTATAGGGGGAGTACAAGAGAGGGGGCGAGCTATGGAAATGGATCTGAACACACTGTTTCAAACCTTTCTCTCATTTTTATTACAGTTATATTTCATTTATAATATGGTAACTACAATATTTTAATAAGTATGTGTATACTTTCGCTTATCTCTTTTAAAGCTATACAAGCATTTAATTTATATTTATACAGTTACATTTTTTGAGAATTTTATTCCTAGGTAGGCCACTACGTATATATGATATGGTGTGCTTTACTATAATTCGATAATTAGTATACCACTAGCTTATATAATATAGATTTCACTCTGCTGGAATTGGAAAATAAAATACTTGAGGTTAAACTTGTCGACATTGCAGCAGCAACGGGAAGTCTATATATTATATAATATAATGTGTGTGCCCAAATTCTGACCTCGGTTAAGCGAAAAAATTAATTTCGTTTTATTTTCTCCTGTGGCGGTCGTTTCTTGGTGTCCACGAGTTAAAAGTTTGGACATAAAAATGGGAGAAAAACAAAAAAAAAAAAACTTCACAATGGCCAAAGTTTGGTATAGCCATACTATAATAGGATGAAGAGACCGCCACCGCGTCTATATATATATACTAATTATATCCACGCGGTCGCCTCTGCAGACTGAAAAGGTCCTTTGGGGTATCGTGGTTTGTATTTCGACCACCTCCTTCATATATATATATATATATATATATATATATACATAACTCACCCTCGCACCCGATGAATTCTTTATGGACACGCGCGCGTACGACGACCTTTACACCCGCAAATGTGTGCAAGTTTCTATTTTCTGGAAAAAAAAAAAAACCAAAAAATTATATGTACCTATTCTCATGCTATATACGTGTATGCACTTTAAAATTCATGAAGTTTGCAGATTGTAATACAATTTTGTTTTTTATTACTTTTTTGCAGTCACGACCGAGACCAGCCATTCACTTTCCAATTGGGTGTGGGACAAGTGATCAAGGGATGGGATTTGGGATTGACCAAAATGTGCGTCGGTGAGAAGAGGAGGCTGACCATACCAGCCAATCTAGCATACGGTGACCGCGGTGCCGGAAACGTCATTCCCGGAGGTACGTACCGTTGAGAAAGCAACAACAATATTTTTAATATATCACTGCCGCTATGGTAGAAAAAGCTTAATTTACTCTTATCGAATAAATAAGAGATTGGATAATAATCTGTGGTATACCTGTATAGAGAGAAAAATGTAGGTTAGGGCGTTAGGTACAACTCACTTGTTATAATAGTTATAATAACATCAAAACATTTAAAATTACCATTTTTTTTTTTAATCACACAATATGATTCGACAAATATAATATACAAATCCAATGTGTAAGTATAACTTATTTGAAAAATTGAGTGAGTTGTGCACTTGTAACAGCAATACCTTCTCAAGTGAAATACGTAAGAAAAACCCTAAACAATTCCTTTAAAACAGTATTGCAAATTTAAAATAAAAACTATAAACAAGTAAATTACATAAAACGTCTGTAAAATAAAACTTAATACTATATTTTAATTACTTGTTTAGTAAAACACATATTTTATAGCTGTGACGCAGTAAATCCAAATACTTATCTGCCCTGTACTTATAATATTTTGCTACGTCTTTAAAAATGTATTTTATAAATTGTCACAAAACAAAGAAACAAAAGCAATAGTCTTCACTTTATTATTTTTAACCTCTAAATATCTAATTTGCCTATTGTTTAAGTACGTCAATATAATATAATAACAACAACGAGTTTGGGTTCTAGTGGCACGCTTATTTTAGAAAAGGAGCTTTAATTGGTTACAGTGAAAGCGAGTGAGAATATAAGAAGTTAATTTTTATGGTGTTAAAAAATATGTTGTATTGTTTAATGTATTTTACACAAAAAATAAACTAATTGTCCACTATTTTAAATGTGAAGTGAAGTCTCAATTGAAAATATCTTATTCATACCGAATTACTCCACTCAATCATCTAAACTTATTCTTAAAAAATAAACTGAAAAATTCCATACTTCAAAACTTTATCAAAAATATTATACGCTGTGTACAACCAAGTTTGCAGTAAATTCAATTACGCACCAACTCCATATTGAAAATCTCGAGCATACCCCACTCCCATTTCCAGAAATCGACAAGTTATAAGACAAGTTATAATAATATTATTAATGCCTTTTGGTCATATTAAATTTAAATATTTAATATTATTTACTATATCATGCATACATTTTTGTCTGCTTGCCTAAACAGCACGACTGTACTAATAAGTATGATATTATGTGTATAGGAGCCACTTTGGTGTTCGACGTCGAGCTGTTGAACGTTGGTGACCAGGCGCCAACCACAAACGTGTTCAAGGAGATCGACCAGGACCAGGACAAACAGCTGTCCAGGGACGAGGTGAGCGAATATCTGAAGAAACAGATGGCAGCGGCCGAGGGCGCGGAGGGTGGTGATGACATCAAACAGATGATGTCCGACCACGAGAAGCTTGTCGAGGAAATATTCCAACACGAGGACAAGGACAAGAACGGGTTCATATCGCATGACGAGTTCACCGGGCCCAAGCACGACGAGCTTTGATGAGGGACACGATGTATGTGTTTGTGGGGGAGGGGGGATGGAAATGGTCGGGAGGAGCCGGTTCGTGGAATTACGCCGCGCACGTCATCATATGACATATTATAATATATAATATGTATACGCATTATGATGTCTGGACGAAAGTGCTCTCTTAATCTGGGTACTCCAGCATTATTTTTCTTTTTATAATTATTATTATTGTTTTATTTTAATTACTTTTATTTTTTGGGGAAGTTCGCCAAAAACAAAAAACCAAAATCCCTCTCTGAAAGAAATGTTTTTTCATTTTATTTCTTTTTATGAATAATATAATATTATATTTATTTGAATCAGACACAAAATTAGCATAATATACATATTTATAATATTATTATGTAAAGTCGTAATTGGACTACTACTATAAGTATACTATAAATTTTTTATAGTCCGCGGATTTTTTGTTTAATTGAAAACTTTTGTAAGAAGACTGTTGTAATAAAAATGTTTTATATAAACAATTCATACTGTGTTTATTTTGTCTATTTATACTTATAAAGTTATTCACATGTATACAATACACTTTGGGTATTTATATATAATAAAATATGTATGTATATGGCAATACGGCATTGGTTAATATAACTATATATGCCATCTAACCATACATATTATAATATAGTACATAATATACTTATTATTCATATTATTAATTTAAAGAAAAGAAATGTTCAAAGAAAACTAAAACGTTAAGTACCCATTCATCAACAAACGCAATAGTAGAAACAACATACTACACGAAACTTAAAACTTTTCAAAATATAGAGAAAAGATTATTTATCGTATCTACAGATATACACAAAACTTTTGATACCCACCTTTGTTCCTAATGGTAAACCCTACTCATGCAGTCATGCCCTACGTTTAAATGCGTAATATACCTACCATACAAATTATGATTTATATGCAACCGTTCATCCACTGCGTTTTCCATTCACCCCTTCCACACTTACCGTTGAAATCGATTTCCTCCTCCGACACACGAACCGTACAAAATGTATACACACAAACGTATCAAAATGTCAATCAAACTACCCACATATTATAATATTATTATAAACGCCCACCCCCGAGAACAATGTTGAGATCTATACATTACACATTATAATAAAACAGGTAGACGATTAATATTATATTATATAAACCGAACACTACAGACATTCAGGCGTGGCCACATAAGTGCGGAGTAAGTACCTACGTAATAACTTTTTTTTGGGTAATGAAAACATTTTCATTCGATTTCCCAATGTACCCATCACATTACGCTCAAATTCAAATACTTAAAAAAAAAATTAATACAATTAATTTCCCATTCTTAAATTAGAGATGATTTAAGTTATCTCTACATATCCGTCAGCCAGGCACACGGATTTAAAATATTGATCTCCAGACTTATTAGAAAATTAGGTAATACAATATTTTTAACTGACAATTCGAAATTTTTAACCCAAGTCTTACACCAGAATTTAATATTCTGATCTTTCGGAATTAGACTGACGAATCTTATCTCCACTATCATAATCATTAAATACTTAACGATTTATAGAATGAACGAAGTATAAAATTAAGCCCTAAGGCAGTATGGCCTATATTTTTGCATGAGTAACCCCCGTTTAAACATTAAGCCACCTGTTCGCACCATGATTATATTAGTCCCATCATTTTTTATTGAGAACTCTTTCGTATACTTTACCGAGATTTGATTTTTCGTGGTCGATTCCAATGTTCCTATCTAGTTAATGTCCACACAATTTTCAATATCTTTAACTTTTAAAAATTCCAAAGCTTAAATAATTTTAGCATATTTTAATAAAAATTCTGAAGAACTGCTATACTACGATAGTAAATCTTATTCACACCTTTTCGGCATTTTTATAGTATGTATGGTGTATAATAGTATGCCGTTCTGATACAAACGTGGGCATATAGAGGATGAGAACGGTACCGGACTTCAAGGGTGGCGGGCTCCGCGGTTAGTCAGAGATGCATTCACTATTGTTCCAATCCTACCCCAACGAACTGTTTCGTATTTTAATGTGAAGGACCACCACGTTCTAATAGCTGTTGTCTATTGCCACAATATGTGTTGTATGTAGAAAAATTATTCCAGCAGAATTAGGTAAGGACTAATTGTTACAATAATCGATGTAGCTGAAGTAATGCTAACGCAGTTCCCTCCTTTGGTAGTCTAGTACAATACCACACGAAAACGAAGGAAAAATATAGAGAGTGTGATATTGAATGCGACGCTGAAACGAAACCGTCACGAAAATCAAAGCAAAATTCAATAGAAAACGATCGATCGACTGAAAGCTCAATGAGTCCTCGTTTCACCAAGCTATTCTAATACTGTATAGACCGAGGCACATATTATTATAATACATACATACGAGTCAATCGAAAATTTCGAAACGGGGAGGGAAAAAGCGTATAGAAACGGCGTTCAACCATTCATTATTATACCCGACATCCTCCAAAAGTTTCGTTAGAATACATGGTATATATGTATGGGTACAATATTAGTATACCTATAGTTACACAAAAAGCAGCGTGCTAGGGTTCGGAGTTATACTAGTCAACCAAATATTGGCAAAAATTTGAATCGTATTAATTAGTATATCAAATTGAATATGGAAATGGTGTATGTATTAAAAATTTCCACGGAACAATTTTTGCCGTTTTGGTAGGATTTGATTTTTTAAAAACATATGTTTATCATATTATTATTGAGAACTTTCGCATATAGCAGATTCGCGTCTTTTTTATTATTTTTATTTGGCTAAACTAAATAAAAAACCCTATAATAAAGTAATTTTTAAATGAAAACAAATTAACAACTGTTAAATTAGGAAAACAGATATTAATAATGGAAATAGATCCGTATGATAATCAAGATTCAAGGCATTAATTAAATTGATAGTGAAACACAATTTGAATATTTTAATGATATTAAAGACTAATGAGTGTATGGTAGGTAGTAAACTATAAATAAGATTATAACGATGAAATGTTGGATGGAATTAATAATGTGAAAAAAATGATAAGAAAATAAAAAACAAGAGATAATGCCTTTAGCGATAGGTAAGTGCATAGATTTACAACTAAAGGTTAAAGTTTCAAAGGCAACCATGATTTTGAATTGTTGGGTGATTGTGCAGTTTTTGGTAATTATATTATAGGTAATAAAGTATAAAACAAAATATAATGTGATAAGTTGTTTGGAATTCAGATTACAAAAAATCAATTTCATTAACTGATATAATGACTTCAATAGTTTGATGTAACCAAGGTATACCTACACCGAGCATGTGATTTGTAAAAATTTCATCAATGTTACTATACCAAATGCCAATACAATAAATTAATAAAATATTTAAAAAACAAAAAACAGCTGAGGGTCAGATAATTAAACAATATACCTGGCACTGTTATATTACATTGTATTTTACATAATCGTGAATATAAAATAAAACGATATATTCGGTTATTCACATTGTTTTTATTAAATGTTATTGTTAACTGTAGTCATGGTATATGACATTTGGTGTTTATATTCTTAACGTGGTCAGTGGTAAGTGAATTTGTATAACAATATAATGTTTTAACTTATTGTAAATTTGTAGGAAAAGCGTTTCAGTATACACATTATATTATTTTACTCGGCCAAAACGATACAGACAAAAAGTCAAAAAGTCGAAAACATATTTTCTATACGTATATAATATAATGCCGTAATAATAAAAGGACAATCGGGCGCCACTTCACAAAAGTTTCTTGTTTCATAATCGATAAAACGATACATTATATTATTAGGTATATGAGTGCGTGTATGTGTGTGTATAAATGTACAGTAAAAACAAAAAAATAAAAATGAAAGACGAGCAAAACGTTGCTCCCTATAGAATGCGAAAGCATATGTTACTTTAAAATCCACACATCGATCGTCCATGTTTCATATAATTTATAAATTCGGACAAATTCAATTATTGTAAATTTGTAACTAAAATTTTAAGATGGTCGATCATAAAACTGCGTATTATAGAAAACCCGTCGATGTCAACTTCTGCAGTTATACAGAATCCAGTTCGGTTAATCATTTATGATAATATTATTATTATATACTATAGTGACAGCATTATTTGAAATTTGTATAGGTATCCTATGGATGGATGATGTGAGAAACGTGTTAAGTCACATTTTGGTCATTTTGATTTAATATAAACATTTTAAGAAATTGTACGCTGCATCGGTTGGTGACACTGTAATTAACACACGGTGGCTTAATATTGTGTTATATTGATGTGTGAAATAAGAGTCAACTCAATAACAATTAAATGATTTGGCGAGAGAGGTATGAAAATGATGATTTAAATTTCAAAATAACATTTATATTCCTTTATTTTTGTTTTTTATTTGTTAGAACAGTTTTTTCTAACACATACACATATTTATTTTCAGATTTTAATTCAACCTTCAGTCCTAAATCATTTTAGGACGTTTTAAATGACTTGACATTAAATGGACACACACAAACAATATCAGATTTGACACCTCTAGCACATATCACTTGACATTAATAACATCACTATACTGTCGGCTATAGGTATAGTATATTATAATACTATATTATAATTTATGTATATTATAATCTCACAGTATAATATGCTGTACATAGTATAGTACACGTACACTTATAGATTGTTTCGTTGATTTTTTTTCATAGATAATATTCTGTACTGTAGAACTGTTGTTTTCAAAGTTGTTAATAAACTAAGAACCTAGTTCAAAAAAAATAGTATGTATTGATCGACCATATATTTCATAAAAGTTGCAGTGTACTGTGTACACCAAATTGAATAAAATAAAATAAAAACATATCTGTAAATAAATTTAAAACTTAACATTGAATGATATAGCACTGACTTCTATAAAACCAAATTAGTGGTGTTATTAATATCAAGTGATATGTGCAAAAGGTGTCAAGTCAGATATTGTTTGTATGATTAAAGTCAAGTATAGGTAACTTAAAAAATTCTTAAAATGATTTAAAATTTAAAGTTAAACGAAAATCTGAAAATAAATATGTCTATGAGATAACTATTCTACCAAATTAAAAACAAAAATTAAGAAATAGACACGTTTTTTCT